AGGTCAGAGTTTAGCACTAGTAAATCCCCAGCTCCAGAAGCGGCCTCTATTCAAACCTGTGTGGAAACATTTCTTCTTTGCATGTTTGACTTGGACCTTGTACAGCAAGCCATTACTATAGAGCCTTGTGGTGCTGGACTGAAACACATCGGGGGAGTTGATTGAACACCACCTATGGCTTCCAGCCAGTAGCAGTGTTAGCTTACCTTTGGAGGACTTGTGCCTCTCTGAAACAGATGTGCAGTACGTTTGTTTAACTAGCCCAAGTTTGCCCAGTGGTGGCAGCGCACGCCTTTAATCCCAGCACTCAAGAGACAGAGACAGCCAGATCTCTGAGTTTGAAGCCAGCCTGGTCTACATAGCCAGTTCCAGGACAGCCAAGACAAGAAACCCTGTCTCAAATGAATGAATGAATGAACAAAAGAATGAGAAATGAAAAGTCCAAGTTAATCAAGATTAGAAATTTGCCCTATGACAAAGCCACCTTCAGGAACTTTCCATGGGTGAGATGCCATAGCCTACCTCAGCATAATTGCCTTCCCATACCCTTCAGAGGCTCAGGCTCCCAGGAGTCTCTTCCAGATGGGCTTTTAGTAGAAATGCCTTGAAGGTCAGAGGACAACTTACAGGAGTCAGTTCTCTCCTTGCACTATGCAGGCCCCAGGGATCGAACTCAAGTTGTTAAGGTCAACCGCAATTGGCCTTTCCTACTGAACCATCTTGCCAGCTGAAACTTGAGATGTTTAACCCACCAATTTATCTTAAATATTTGGGTTTTTTTGGTTTGTTTTTGTTTTTTGAGACAGGGTTTCTCTGTGTAGCCCTGGCTGTCCTGGAACTCACTCTGTAGACCAGGCTGGCCTTGAACTCAGAAATCCATCTGTCTCTGCCTCCCAAGTGCTGGGATTAAAGGCATGTGCCACCACTGCCCAGCTATCTTAAACATTTGTTGTTTCATAAATTACTGAAAGGTTTAAAAGCTGTTTGACCATTGCGAAGAGTAGAAGGATCTCTTACCTGAGAATACATAAAAGAAAAAAAGCATTCGTAAACCTGTTAAAGTAATGGGTGGTGTATGTAGTTCCTTTATTTGAAAGGCTTCTAGTGCTTAAATAATTGGCATCTTCATGTGCATTTTTGAGAGCAGAGGATACAGTGTTCTGCTAGGTGTCTCCAGCTGGCCTCAAACTCCTCCTCCTGGTCAGCTTTCCCCCATAGAAAACTGAGTAAGTTTCCACACCACGTTTGTCAGCGTTAGTCCTTCCTAAAGTCTGCCCACATGTCACACATGTTGGGTAAGTGCTCAGCCTCTGACACCCTCCTGCCCCTTCCCTTGGCATATGCTGATAAAAGTCTAATCAGAAAGTCCAAGTTCACATTTCATATCAGTACCAGGGGCATGGATACCCTCGGGAATGATGCTCTCTCTGAGCCTCAGTTTCTTCATCTATGAAACGGAGTTAGGGGCTGGGGAGATTTCTCAGAAGGTAAGAGCACTAGCTACACAAGCATAAGGACCTGGATTTGAATCCCAGCACCCAGGTACACAGCACCCAGGTACATAGCACCCAGGTACTCAGCACCCAGGTACACAGCACCCAGGTACACAGCACCCAGGTACACAGCACCCAGGTACAGCCAGGCTTAGCTGCACATGCTCTGTAACCCAGCACTGGGATAAAGATAGGCAGATCTGAGAGCTCTTTAGCCAACCAGCTGAGCCAAAATATCAAGCTTCCAGTTCAATGAGAGACCCTCTCTCTACCCCAGTTGGCTCGGTTTCCAGTGAAGTCTTAGCTGTTGTGTGGTATCTGGATGAGCAGTTTTATTTTTCTTTAAAGTTCCTGAATTTATAAGTGCAAATAGTTGGTATAGAGGGAAGTCTACTCCCTCTACCTCACCTAGCAAATTACCCACACATGGGACAATTGTATCGTGAAACTCATGATTTTGTATGCTGATCAAAAAAATAAATAAATATAAGGTAGGGTCTAATCCAATTTGTGTCCGAAAGACTCTCAAGAGCTCCTGGGAAAGCAGAAGCCATTTCCAGACTTAGAGCCTATGATGGCTAATATGAGTTGATTGTCAACAGAATCTAGAACCACTCAGAAGACAAACCTCTGGTGAGAAAACTCATCCTATATAGTGAGCCACACATCCCCATGGGCTAAGGTCCTGAACTGAATATAACGGAGAATTCCTGGCTGCAGGTCCAGTGGGCTCACCTGCCTCTGTGACTACCCCATCACAATGGACTGTATCCCTTTAACCAAGAGCCAAAGTACAACCTTTCTTTGTTGGGAGCAAATAAAAGGAACTTGTCTTAAGTACTACCATTTTGACTTTGGACTCCATTTTACCTAAGCTGACCAACTCTTTCTCTAAGCAATAGTTCCCTAAAACATAATGCCTGTTCCCAACAACAGAAAGAACAAATGAATTTGACTGGTTGAGCAGAAAACATGTTCAGTGTCAGTTGACAAGGATGGAACACTTGGGAAAGTCCCTAATCCCCGAGTTCTGATGGGTAAACATTATAACTGTAACTTGGCCCAGGTGCATTTGGGCTCATAAACCCTGCTTTAGCCCCTACTTGCTGATGCCGAAGAAACAAGACTCTCAGATCCTTGTCTGATGGCCCTGATTGATCAACAACTCTGCTTATGTGATGGGAATAATCTAAGAGTAAAAAGTAATAAAGAGTGGGCTGTTTGACAAGCCCACTATTTGTGTTTCTGCTTGGATGGAAGAGTATCCTAGGACTCGGAAGCCCAGGAACCATACAGCTCTGAGGGGAGAAGGTATCCCAGCAGAAGGGCATCCTGAGACAGGGGCACAGCTCTGAGGTGGGACAGTGTCCCAAAGGAGGGGCATCCTGAGACACAGGAGCTCAGGAACCACACAGCTCTGAGAGGAAAGCTCTTCAGCAGAGGCTTTGCAGCTCCCAGGGGAAGGTATCCTCAGCTGAGCTGAGGATCTCAGACACCTCAGCCCCGCTCCTTCCCTTCTTCATAGCTTCCTCCAATGAGAGAGTAACACCAGGCAGAAAATCCCATAAAAGAGATTTAGTAGAGGGCTCGGGGTGTGGAGGGACAAATCTAGGGATGGCCGCCCTCTGCTCCCAGGAGTGGGCAGCAGAGAAGTGGACAAAGGCAGGGCTTATACAGGATTTCTTAGGGGGCAGAGCCTTCAGGGCAGAGATTTCCAGATTGAGGATTGATGTGATTTCAGGTCCTGAGCTTGAAGAGCTCAGGGATTGGTGGGTTTTCCTGGTTAGGGATTAGTGCCTTTTTAAACCCCCTTTTCCCTGCACTGGGCCCATGGGTTATGGTAGAAAGACCTTCCTGGCCTCAGCCAGCTTTGACTGAGGTGCCATCTCTGTGGAGCTGCTGGGGAGGCTGGAGAGGAGGTGTGCCACTGTAGACAGCAGTGGTGGTTGACCAAGGCTGAGGTGGAAGATGTCACCACTGTGGATAGCTCCTTCTACGGCAGGAAAAGAGATGCATCACCGTGGACAACTCCTGTACAGGCTGCAGGATGAGAAGACATGTGCTGCCATTTTTGTCAGCTTGTGCAGCGGCATCTTACTACAGCATAGGCTGAGGTAGTCAAGAGGGGCTGACCACCGCTTTAATGGCGTTTGTGTCAGCAGCTTAAGGACCACACTGGCATTTTCTCTCCCTAACTGGGTTTGTCAAGTATTTTGTCATTGCTTTGAGGGAAGCAACTAATATAATTGTCATCTATTTCCTGTGTTAACACAGCCCCAGGCCAGGGGATCTCAGCAGTCCCCAAAAGACCCAGACAGCTGAGGAGTGAGTATGGTGAGTCAGGAAAGGAATTTCAGTGTGGCCAACACTGAGGACACATCTAGGACCTAAGCTTTGCCTGTGAGGCACTAAGAACCATTTTAAGTAGGGAAAGAACATGGCAAGCCAAGTGCTCACATAAGCAGCCATGGCTAAGGGCCAGGTTGGCCACTGGTTGTTATTACTTGAGGGGTGCAGTTTGGGTGTCCTGTGATAAGGTATTTGGTGTCCTCTGCCATGAGGCTTCGGGTGTCTTGTCTGCCGTTTGGTGTTGGGTATGCTTTCGTGGGGTGTTGGGTGTCCTGCTTTCAGTTTGTTCTCCCTAGAATTTGAGATCAGCTAGGGAAAGAAAAAACCCAGAGAGAGGACAGGCCAGAGAAGAAATGAAATATGTTAGAGTTGGGCTCCTCTGTCAGAAGGCAGAGGAAGGTGGGTGAAGGATAGTTTCAAAGGCGTTTCTCCTATATTTTGGGATTTTGTTGTTTTAATTTTAAGTTATTATTATTTAATGCATACGGGTATTTTGCCTGATGCATCTCCACCATGTGCCTGGTGCCCACAGAGGCCAGAAGAGGATATTGTTTCCTCTGGAACTGGAGTTACAGCGTGGTGAGGTGCCATGTGGGAGCTGAGAATTAAACCAAGTCTTCTTCAAGAGGAACAGATGCTCTTAATGGCTGAGCCATCTCTCCAGCCTCTGTTCACTTCATTTCTTTTTTGTTTGGCTTAGTATTCTTGACACTCCAAAGGTTACTGAACAGGTTTTCTACCGCTTGGCTGCATCCCAAGCCTTCCCATGAGTCTTCAGGCGCACACATAAGACATGCATATGCTTTCAGAATCTGCATCTCCTCTCCCTCTCCCCCCCCATCCTTGGCTCCCCTCTCTCTGGTCCCTCCCTCTTTTCATTCACATCAAAAAGTAAATGTGCTCAGTTCAAATTAATTGATACAAAGTGTTTTAGATTAAGCAGATTTTTAAGCAGATTCTCAGCTTAAAAACACAACTGTTGGCCGGGCAGTGGTGGCGCATGCCTGTAATCCCAGCACTTGGGAGGCAGAGGCAGGCGGATTTCTGAGTTCGAGGCCAGCCTGGTCTACAGAGTGAGTTCCAGGATGGCCAGGGCTACACAGAGAAACCCTGTCTCAAAAACCAAAAAAAAAAAAAAAAACACAACTGTTGGAGAAATTTAGTTGGAATGAATTTTTTTTGAAACTCAGGGCAATTTTATTTATTTTTCTTAAATTTGGGGTGTGGTACAGGGGACTGGACCTAGGGTCTCTTACATGATAGGCAGATGGTTCTCCCACTGAGCTATATACTCTGTGATTTTATTCATTTTATAAATTTCTATTTACTTTCATTAATCTTATAATTTTTATATAATAAGCTTAGTAGAAAACCATATACTTTTTTTAAAAATTACTCACAATTAAGTACAGTTATAAATCTGCAGTAGTTATAAATCTGCAGTACCATTTAAAGGCAGCAACCCGAAATGTACTGTCTCAACGACCATCAGATGCAGCATTTGGTACAAACTGCTCAAGAGGGGCTTGTCACTGTGTTGGGATGGTCAGTCACATGGAAGCCCCTCTCCTCGATGGCCCTGTAGAGTGTGATGTACTTGGAAGCCAGGCGTGTCCTCGGGATCACGTACTTTTCTGTGAACACGCTCTTGTCCAGCTGTTCTTTGCCTTCCATGGCAAGGATGCAGTTGATGAAGGAGAGGGCAAAGGTCAAGCAGTTGTGGTGATTCTCTTCATACCTTGAAGAAACGAGACTCAGTGAGGTAAGACAGTCATCCCTGTTTTCCAGGCTGGCCTTGAACTCCTGACCTCAAGTCCTCCCACCTCAGCAGTGGCAGGATACCTGAGGCCACGATGCTGGCCCCTAAGAATGCTAACATTACAAGCTGATCAGTGGTAGAGGCAACTGCCACCATCACAGACAATCTCTGGGATTCACACGGCAGAAGGAAAGAACCAACTCTTTCAAGTTGTTCTCTGACCTGCACACATGTGGCTATGGTGCACACACACACATACACATAGAGGCAAACAAAATAAATGAATACAATGTCATACAATGTCATTTAAAAAAAAATTTTTTTTAACAGAGACCAGACATGGAGCTCATACCTTTAATCCTAGAACCGAGGAGGCAGAGGTAGACAGATCTCTGTGAGTTCAAGGCCAGCAAGGGCTACATAGTGAGACCCTGTCTCCAGAAAAGAAGAGTGAAGATGGAAAAAAATGAGAAATTAATCTCACTAAAATAAACAAAAAATGGAACTTAAATATTTTTACACTGTAAACAATATTTTAAAAATTTTAGAAGTGCCACACAAAGTGGTGCCCAGCATTTCAGGCTGAGACAGGTTGATCTCTAGGAGTTCAAGGTGAGACTGCTCTACATAGTGAGAACCTGTGTCAAGAAATAAAATTATACCAGGCAGTTGTGGCACATACCTTTGAACCTAGCACTTCGGAGGCGGAGGCAGGCAGGTATTTCTTTGTTGGAGGCTAGCCTGATCTACATAGTAAGTACTAAAACAGTCAAGGTTATGTAGTAAGATCTGTATCAAAAAAAATAAGTGTAAAATTATGAAATATAATAGGATTTTTCTGTGTATGTTTTAAAATCTCATAACTGGACACAGTGACTGTTAGCATTCAGTCTAAACTCCACCCCCACAGTTACCTGGCTACAGCCAGGTATGCTCCTCCCCACAGTTACCTGGCAACAGCCAGATAGGTCTGGCCCACTATAGAAGGGGCTGCTTGCCCCCTACTCTCTCTCTTGATCTCTTGCTCTCTTGATCCCTCTGTCCCCTCGTCCCCTCCCCCTTCCCTTCCCCTCTCTCCACATGCTCATGGCCAGCCTCTACTCCTCTACTTCTCTCTCTCTCTCTCTCTCTCTCTCTCTCTCTCTCTCTCTCTCTCT